TGACACTGGAATTACTAACAGGAGATTGCTCTCACTTTCATGTGTTGAAATTGATATATAGTACCAACAGATGCTAATCATGTACCATCAGTACTAATAAAATGGAAACTATAAAATTAATGTCAATTTGGCTAGTATTTAAGTATTTTATTCCAGTTTAATATGAAAGCATTAGATTTAAGATATAAAAATTTCATCATAGGTCCAAATTTGAGATAAAAACCAAATGATATGAGCATATAGTGAAATCTAAATATCTTAGAATAGCTATATCGAGAGAGGATGAGGTTATTGATGAGAAAAAAAAGACCAATCGCTGAGGAAGTAAGAAAGCAATTGGCAAAAGCAAAGAGTAATTACATTAAATAAAATAACAACCTATCATGGTACACATATATTCCTACTGTAGAAACAAGACAATTAATAAAGAACATTAAAATAGCTGCAAGAAAGAGAAAATAATAGATTTAAAAAAATAAAAGCATAAACATGTCTTTTCATGTTGAAAATATGTAAATGGAACCTTGAATTAAAATGTAACCTTTGATATATGTGATAAACCCATCACTTAAACAATGGCACCGGTGTATGTAGTTGGAATTTTTTACACTTATTTTAGCTGTTTATTTTCTTAATATCTATACTTACTTATTATCTATCTGTACATGTATGAGTTGCAACCGATATCACAAATTTATTTATTTTGTCAAATTTGTTCTTTTTACTACCAACTATTCTAATAACATATGCCTATATATGTTAAGGGTATATCTAGAGATAAAGAAACTTTACTTGACTTAAACTTATCAGACATATGCGCTAAACATGAATCTGGCGTATTTCTAGTGCAGGAAACACATATAGGGCCTAACCTAGAATATTTGGTGTTAAGCTGATCGCTGAAAACCTTATTATAGATATAGATCTGCTATCTCTGTCGTAAAAGAAGCAAAGAAAAACTTAAAATAAGAAAGGACAAAAACAGTCAGCTTGATTGGATCCACCATCTACATATTAAATATAAAATAATACAACTACCGGCATTGAGGATTTGAACACACAGTTAATTACGAAATCTGGACCAAAACACTACAATGGCTTATCCGGATGATGAGCAACTGTATTCAAATTATGCAGATATGCAAAGTCTAGAGACGAGCCAAAGTTGTTACCTTGCTTAAACCTGGCAAAAACTCCAACGACCACAAAAACTATTGGCCAATATCTTTGTTTTGTCAGCTATTTAAAATACTTTTGCACAAGAGACGATGATATGATTTCACCGATATTAGAAAAAAAACTCAAATTATAAGACGAAAGTGGCTATAGATAGGGAAGATCGCGTACTTTACAAATACTAAATCTTACTCAAGACAGCAAAGACGGGTACGAAAAATATCGGGTATCAGGGGTGGTATTTTTCAATATAAATTCCGCTTACCACACCTTAAATTACAGGATATTTCTCGAAAAACTATATGATATCCCCGTGGATAACAAACGATAAAATTATCTGTGTATGCCTACACAATAGAATATTTTTCGTACCACTCGATGGTAAGAATAGCAGATGAAGAACGGTCTCGCTTGGGATAGCATAAAGACACTTACATTGTATAAACAAACGATTAACCCATACCTATAGATACTAGGACTTCTAATATACAGACGATACACCTATTATTGCCCAATAAAAATAAACTATGAATCAATTTTCAGCCAAAACGCCTGAAAAACTCATATGTGCTCCTTCAATTTCCCTAACACAAACGCTTTCACAAAACTAAACCTCCAATAATGTCATGAAATCGTTGAACTGTAGACTATCTATAAATTCCTTAGAAGTAGCTTGTATTGCACGTGATTATTCACAGATCATTGTTTAAAACTAAAAGGTAAATTGAGGTCAGAAATAATATTTGTCAGCTAAAAATGAGGCGAACGTCCTTTCGCCCTACAAATTAACCATTATTTCTTTTTGTGTACACTACTACACATTTTAACACAAAAATATCTATTATATATATATCTATATCACTTAACCATATTTATTTTGAGATAACCTTCTATCAAGATATCATATTATGTAGTACAAACAAGACCAAAACTAAAATAATAAAAAAACTTTATACAAGATATCGCAGAACATTGGATGAAATAAAAACAGTTTTTATTATTGGGATGCTTCTATAAAACGTACAAAGACAAAGTCACGTAAAAAAAATATAAATAGTACGAAACTTCTACAATTAAAAAAACGTAGACTTCAACATTGAACTAATAAAACTATATTAAGTAAAAAAATAACATTTTTAAAAGTGCAGAGAAAATAAAATTTTCTATGCAAGTGACCATTCCATTAAATAATAAGCCCAAGTCCTTTTGTATCTATATACCTGTTTTTTTAAATAACCTGTACCTTGTACCTATTAGCACGTAGTAATACCCGGTAATAAGATATCCTTGATTATACAGTGTAATGCGTATGGCATTACACGGCCTACAAAAAGTAGATAAAAATAAGGAGCTCATATAAACCGTTCAGGGTAAACTTTGAAAATATACGCTATAATCGCACGGTTGCCAAACTCTCAGAGCTTACTTAAACCGATAAACTAATTGTTCAAATATACAGTGAAAAATACCTGAACGACCCCTATAATATATACACGTGAACTACACGATATACATTTATCATACAGGGGTATTTATGGGCTCCAAAATTTTTTTAAAAATTATGAACCGCTGTATGTTAACGAATCGACAGAACCAATATTAGGGAATGGTCAAGTGAGCTCCGTATATCGGTGTCCACTTGACCACGGAGCTCACTTAAACCTGAATTTTAACATGGGCGGACTCCACTTTATGCCGTAAATATATATATATATATATATATATATATATATATATATATATATATATATACATATATTAATATGGTTCTTTTTTTTTAGAACTAAGACATTTTCTTGAAATGTAAGATGTAATTGATGCCAGTCACATATCTCCTGTAATCATTGATTTTAATGAATCAGATTTTGGATTGTTTGAAATATAATATTTATTTTTGGTATTTATAAAAAAAGAAGGTAAACTTATATTCGGTATCTTGTTGGTTAACTAAACTCCATTAACACTATTTCATCTGAATACCGGAACTTGTAGATTAACCCAAAATTCAACTGCTTCACTATTGAAACTATTAACATTGTTTTTTTTTTAACTAAGCTTTATAACACTCTTTTATTTGCACATCAAATCTGGTAGAATAACTCAAAAATCAACTGCTTTACTATTAAAACTATTACCACTACTTAATGATAAATCTTCACAAAATTAAACTTTTTGATGCCAGAGAAATTTATCATAAAATCATTTATCCGGATATGACTGATTTCAATCGATGATGTTTTATTACAGGAATCTTTGCTTTGATGCCTTGAATTGTCAGTAATTTTTTTATCCCCCAGTCAACTTTTAATACATTCTAGGAGGAAGCGGTTTTTTACATAAACAAAGATTCCAATTCCATAGTGTTTGTAATAAATAATAATAAATCCATAAATAAATCTTAGCTGATTAAGCACATTCATTGGAATGACTAGAATAGGAATTATGACAAATTGCTGTTATAATATAATGTGCAATAAAATTTTTATACAGTACGGCACCTCTAATATCTAATTACTATTTATCTGGGAATATGCCACAATTAAAGATAAAAATACGTTTATTGACGTTTCCATTTCCACTTCGGAAATCGTTCTCAAAATACAAACAGTAAATTAAACAAATTTTGTTTTTTGTTACATAGTGAAAAATTCTTCTAATAATTTAATTTTATCTGATTGATTTATATTGACAATTCAGACATACATTATGCATTTTAAAGTAGACGACTTTTAAATGATATTGCCAATATTGTTGAGTTGCGCTTCTGGGACGACTTTACTTATAAGATAGTTCATTCGATTACATGAAATCAACTTTAACTTGAGAATATCCGCCAGAAAAAAATCATAGCATGTAATTCGTCTTTAAAGAGACAAACGCATGACATGATGTCAGTAAAATTCTCCTGTTAGTGATTCCATAGTAAATTATAAGGGGAAAAACCAGGAAAAAAACCTCATAATACTATCCCGACATGATAAGTATTTGCTCGTGTATTTAGTTTACCTTCAATAAACACCAAAATTCTGATTTTATATGTTTCGCTATTTAAATTTTATTTGTTATTCGTTATTTTTGATTTTTTCTGACGGATATTCTCAAGTTAAAGTTGATTTCATGTAATCGAATGAACTATCTTATAAGTAAAGTCGTTCCAGGAGCGCAACTCAACAATATTTGCAATATTATTTTAAAGTCGTCTACTTTAAAATGCATAAGGTATGTCTGAATTGTCAATATAAATGAATCAGATAAAATTAAATTATTAGAAGAATTTTTCACTATGTAACAAAAAACAAAATTTGTTTAATTTACTGTTTGTATTTTGAGAACGATTTCCGAAGTGGAAATTGAAACGTCAATAAACGTATTTTTTTATCTTTAATTGTGGCTTATTCCCAGATAAATAGTAATTAATTTAAAATGCCATAAGAAAATAGCTTCAGAACAATACACTAATTTCTAAAAAAAAAATGAATTGTTAAAGTTTTTACTCCAGATTTAAAAGAAAAATAATCTTTTCACATTTAGCCGATTACGATCCTGCAACTGCCAGATTTAACTAAAATATTATGAAATAATTCTAGACATTCTTAAAATCCTATATGACGTTAAAATTAGTGATGCACTGAAAGGGTTTGGACCAGACTTTACACTTATTTTAAGCTTATACACAATTTTAATTGTCCTTGTAAAAATTACTTATCATTAAAGACATAATTTATTTTGGTCATCACTACACTAATTAAAATTTTGCATAACACTATTAATTGATGATACTGCGTATTTACTTTAAAAGGTCACTTATATCTATTAATGCAACAATGATAACCTTCAAAATTTTGATAATATTCAAGGTATCCCAATTTTTAACATTTAGTCATAAGTATTTCGTCGCAAACACAAAAATGTTTTTAAAAACTCAACGGTACGTAGTGCTTATTCTGTTTTGTTGTCATATTTACAGAGCGAAATCTACCCTGGATAATAATAATGTAGGAAAAGCTATAATATCTTTGGAACCACACTCTTTTTTTAACGAGAGTTTTGTGCATATAACTATTAGAAAATGTAAACTCCAAACAATTGATGATGAGGCTTTTAAAGACATCCACGTACAAAAAATAATCATTAGCAATAATCCTTTAAAAGAACTAAAGAAAAACATGTTTGTTAATATTTGTGTCAACGAATTTTTTTTATCTAGAAATAATATTAAAACCATCGAACCTGGCACATTCCAAACAGTGAAACCATTTGGAGTCGAATATATGGAAATATTATCTCTTAGTTTCAATAAGCTGGATGTTGTAGAAAAAGGACAATTCAATGGTTTAAAGGTACGTGTTCTCGAATTGGACCATAATAAAATAAAGTTCATTGAAGCGGGATCTTTTTCCAACATGCCACATCTTGCAGATCTAGAAATGATCGGAAACAAATTAAAAAGAATCGATACTGGTATATTTGACAATATGCCCAATATGATTATAATGCATTTGGCCAATAATAATATTGAATATATTGATCCTTATGCGTTTGAAAATACTACAAGTGTTACTCTGTTTTTAAAATATAATAAATGTAGTAAGCTTAATAAAGAGTATTTTAAGAATAGTAACATTGAATGGATATTTGCATAAAATATAAGACTCTATTTTTGATAATAAAAATTAAATAAATTTATATTTTTATAATTTGTTTTATTTTTAATTAACTATGGAACTTAATTAATTTATGATTGTTTTGGTAAATTTCAAGGAAACCGAAGAAACGCTATTTTTGCGATTTTTTGGGACTTAGCCTAAAAAATGAAAAAAAGGCTATTTTTTTGTAATTTAAGGGAATAAAACTAAAGAAATTGCTGAAAAACCTTAAAATAATGAAAAAAAAAAATAGGAAAGTGTAAAAAATAGGAAATTACTATAAGAATGTTAAAAAATATAAAACTACTTACAAACTCATATCAAATATATATATATATATATATATATATATATATATATATATATATATATATATATATATATATACAGATTGAACGAAATAAATTCGGAACATAGGAATATAATGTATTTCGGCTCAATTCTGCTGTAGCTGGTTGGCCAACAAAAGATTGTCAAATAATTATATTATAAAAAAATCCCATACTTCAGCGGGCTGCTGGATTCTGAACTCATAAAAATTGAAAGCTACACATAAATCTACGATTTTATTATGCTGTCAAACCAGTTATAGTCCAGGAAATGTTGCATTTCACCTCGCAATTTTTTCGTGCGGCGTGGATTGACTTGAAATTTAACAGAAGGTAGGTAATAGCCTGAGGATCAAAATCTATATCGAACCAAAGTGTGCCAAAGCCTAGGGGGTGGTTGCCACCCCATCTCCGGGGTGAAATTTTTTTTTACGTTTTAACTACAGGTTTCGATTAGAAAAGTGATTCTAAACAAAAAATGTGCCATACATTTTTTTTATAAAATGATATTGTTCAAGTTATTCGCGATTGAAAGTTACAACTTTTAGACGAAAAAATCCACGTTTTAATCGATTTTTCGCGAATAACTCGAAAATGGTGCATTTTATCAAAAAAATTGTAGAGAACAAATTTGTAGCTTTTAAAAAGACAAATACAATTACAAATACAATATCAATGTTCAGCGGTTTTCTTCAAATGCCAAATTTGAAAGATTCAAAGTCAAATATCGGGAAAATGATGCATTTTTGGAAGAAAACTCACAAAACCTTTTTTAAAGAGCATAAATAGACCTATCATAAAAAAATAAGGTCAATACCTCATTTTTTACGAAAAAATCGAGGAAAACAACACCCTAACCACCCCCATAATTAAAATCTATCTTCACCCTTCTGCAATTCATTTTGTAGATGTATTGTTAATACGTCCAAGAAGTTTGATCCATTTAAAATGCTTAGTTTTAGAAAAAGTATAGCTTAAAGCGAGAAACGATCTACAATTTCATATTTTTTACCCTTCTTTTTTTAAATATGCCCGAAAATACTGAATATATGAAAAAAATAAAAATTACCGAATTGTAGCTTTTTTAATGACTAAAGTTATCCTTTATTTAGATTTGTTGTACAATGAATATTTGGCGAGATATAGCCGTTTAAAGCATCGATTTACGATCAAGCACCATCTTTTTCGTGCCCTTTAAACTCACCCCATTTAAAAACTAAGGGTTCCAAAAATATTTAATTCACAGATCCTTGTAGCTATTAAAAACCTCTACAAATCGTTTTTGAAGAAACACTCTATCGTTAAAAATTAAAGGAAATACGTTAAAAAAAACCAGTTAATTTTTTCCGAAAAATTCCATTAGTATAGTACAGTACATTTCGGAGCATAATAATCTACAAAACCGGTATATTAGCTAGTGGGGCGTTATACATTCGAAATTTTAAGCGTTCTTATTTTGAAATCCCATACAACAAAATAAAACATCTGCTCATATGTCTATGGCTTGGCAATGAAAATATCAGAGCAACAGATTGGGGATGGTATTCCAAAGATGATTTGTTATTACCCGTACGCATGAACAAACAACCTGCACCCAATAAATTTTTGAAAATTATTTTTTGCCAATGCAAAAAAGGATGCGGCGTTTCATATGGGTGCAGAAAAGTTGGTTTATACTGTAACTCTACTTGTTCTGGGTGCTCAGGTGAAGGGTGCAATAACAGTCCACCAATAATTGAAGAAGATGATGATGACATAGATCACGATGAAGATGTAATTGATGACGCATAAAATTAATATTATAATTGTTTTACCTATAAATGTAAATATTTTCAACTATTTATGTAAATGTATAAGAATATATGGTGCCTTTTTATGTTGATAATTTTTTTTGTATTTAATTCTACTTTTTTCAATTTATATCTTATAAATTAGTTTATAAAAACTGCAATGTTGTAAAGGGTGATTTTCAAAAGTTGAAAAGTTGCAAAATTTTCGCAAAAAATTGTTTTCACCTATAGCACTCATAACAATTGATTTTTAAGGGTTAAAAATGTATGAATTTGTATTCTAAAGTAAAAAAAACTTACTATTTAACTAATCCAAACCAAATTTCACACATTTTAAAATTTGTAATATTATTTTACAATTTTTGAAAATAAGGGGTAGTTTTCACCCCTAAGAACAATCAGGGTTCATCGGCATGACATAAACTATAAAGCAGAGGGTGAGTTGAGCTTAATTCCAAATTTTTATGCAAATCGTTTCATGGTGAAATCATTTTCGTCGCATTACTAATTTTTTTATATTAATCTCTAATAAGGGTCGCTTTTTAAGGGTTAAAATCTGATATAACTATATTCAAAAGCACGAAACTATCATTATTTATTTAATTCAAACCAAATTTTACCCATATTCAGGTTTAATATGTTATTTTATAATTTTTGACAATTAGGGGTAGTTTTCACCCTAAGAACAATCAGGGTTCGTTAACATGACATAAACTAAAAAGCAGCGGGTGAATTGAGCTTAAATCCAAATTTTTATTCAAATCGATCAAGGCGAAATCATTTTTTTAGAATTAGTAATTTTTTACATTAATCTCTAACAAGGGTTGCTTTTTAAGGGTTAAAATATTATGGAACTCTATTCTGTCTCCGGAGGCGTGTCAGGTAAAAGCTGACCGCCGCGCCGTGCCGGACGCATTTAGAAATTCGGAGAAATACTTGGAAATTCCAAGTGTGGGCATATACGAATTTCTAATTAACTCGATGTAGGGGAAATTCCACTTTTACTGCGTAAAACAAAGGATTTGGTTTATATAAAAGCAGACGGAATTTCTCTCATCGGTCAGTCGAGCTTGCCTCTTCTTCTGTAGACCTAGTCGGTGCTATTATTGTTCCGACTAAGCTATTGTTTTATTTCTTATTTCCTGATAACCATTTATATTTTATTATTGTATATTCAGACCTTTTCAGGTTAGAATATTACTTTGACTTATATTTGTTCATATACTGATTATTTGATATTTTATTTGATTATTTTGATTGTTTATTTTTCTTGTATTTTGTATCTAACTTGTTCTTCCGTAAGTTAAGAACACTTAGAAATATTTATCTTACTTTTTTCTATTTTATAAATTTGATTTTGTACTTTGTGTCTAAGTAGTTCTTTCCGGTAAGTCAAAGAACTCTTAGAAATATTTCTCTGATATTTGACTTGTTAATTTTATTGTGTGCCTAAGTCATTTTTTTCCGGTAAGTCAAAAGAATACTTAGAAATATTTTCATAATCATTATTGCATTATTATTTCCGATATTTATCTAAGATATTTTCTTAATATATTTGTCTCTTTTATTTTACCATTTCATGCTGAGTTGTTTTTTTTTTCGTAAGTCAAGAAACACTTACAAATATTTGTATTCTTATTTTACTATATTTGATTCTCTTGTTTGTTTTCTGTTCTAAGAAACGCTTAGAAATATTTCCATACATTGTTTCATATTTACATATTACATTTATCTATATTTCTGTCTTAAGTTGTTTCTTCCGTAAGTCAAGAAACACTTAGGAATATTTCTGCACTTTTTTGTTCTTTTATTCTTGTGTATTTTACTTTTCATTCTAAGTTGTCTCTTCCGTAAGTCAAGAAACAATTAGAAACATTTTCTATGCATTGTATTTTTATATACCATTTTATTTCCTTGTTTACTAAGTTATTTCTTTCGTAAGTCAAAGAATACTTAGATTATTTTACCTGTTCTGTTTTCTATTTTGATCTGCTATTTTGTAACTGTTCCTTGGAACTGTTACCTATAACAGATACTTGTCACGGTAACTGTTATTTTATACCAGTAGCAGTATTAACACGTTTTACCAGCGACAAGCAAAGATGGTCAACACCCGATCAAATTCCGGGGACAGGAAGAAGTCCGAAGAGCCGGCGATGGGTCCTACAGGCCCAAATGCCCCCTCCCGGCAACAATTCAAAAGTATAAAATAATCATTATTTAACTAATTCAAACCAAATCTTACCCATATTCAGGTTTAATATGTTATTTTATAATTTTTGACAATTAGGGGTAGTTTTCACCCCTAAAACCTTTCAGCGCACTTCGGTTCGATATAGATTTTGATCCTTGGGCTATTACCTACCTTCTGCTAAAATTTTAACTGGATACATGCAGGACGAAAAAATTGCGAGGTTTTAACTTTTTTCGAACTTCATTTCCTGAACTATTATCGCCTCCTTAGACAAACCCGTCTTACGCAAACAACTTTGTTGCGAGACAGATAGTTGAACGATATTTTATACAATGTCTATACCCAGGTATGGATTTATTTTTGTCCAAGTTTTATATTATATTGGTTTTATATTGTATTATTATATTATATTATTTTATATTGGTCCACTATTTCAAACAGACATGTATTAAAGTGTATGTTCCGTTTTAATTTGGTTCAATCTGTATATATATATATATATATATATATATATATATATATATATATATATATATATATATATATATATATATATATATATATATAATATTTATGGCCTAAACCATTAAAAAAGTAAAAATTTTTACAAAAAGTCGTAATTTATTAAAATTATGAAAAGAACTCTGCGCATCTGCATAATAATTATAATTTGACATATATTCG